ACGTTGAACCAGGGACCCTGCGGTCGTGAGTCAACTGCTTTCCAGCTGAGCCACAGAACACACACTAAATCTCCCTGAAAACACTGAACGATTTTTATTCCTGTATTTATTCATTTATTTATTCATGTTTTTATTCCTACATTTATTTATGCTTCTATCCATTTATACTTATGACATGTTCCGACCTCTATATAAGTGAGGGTCTGAGCTCATTTAATTCCATCGTGTCACCAGCGGACCCGGGTACAGGAGGGGTAATATGGTTCTTATTATACATCCANGATTTTAATCCGCTACGTAATGAATGTTAAGGCTTGGGTTAGCGTGTAAGCGAGTGGTAGCTACATCTGTACTAACGATGATAATCGTAGCCTCCAAGTTAAAACAAAATAGAGAAGTGTTAAGTAGTGATGTTACATATTGCGCCGTGGCTTCGGAGCGTGTGTCGAGTAATCCCCGAAGCTTTTTGTGAAGCTTGTATCGAGGCTTGTATCGTTTTGGGCCAGTGATGTCATCGATGACAAACGAAGCCTCGCTGCCTGTCGATACCACGTGACTGCTTCAGGAAGCGATTCAGATCGGTTGAACCACAACGCTCATAATACCCATGGGTGTATAATAAGAACCATATTACCCTTCCTGTACGCGGGCCCAGTGACACGATGGAATTGAGAGAGCTCAGACCCTCACTTATATNATTTCTCGCTGTCATGTCTACTCCTAGTGATGTTACGTATAGCGCCGTGGCTTCGGAGCGTGTGTTGAGTAATCCCCGAAGCTTTTTGTGAAGCTTGTAATACAAGCTTCACAAAAAGCTTCGGGGATTACTCAACACACGCTCCGAAGCCACGGCGCTATACGTAACATCACTAGGAGTAGACATGACAGCGAGAAATCATCTATGGTCCAGTTAACCAAAGTGCATGGGACAGTGAGGTCAGAATTGCATTTTAATTAAATTGTCTTCATAAATGCTGCAGTTGAAACACTAACGTCATCAATTTAGTTTTACTTTCTCCTCCGTGTTGGCATTTTATCTCCATAATGCATGTTTTGTCCCCCCTGCTCAGATACCAAAAACTACTGAATATTTCGTATTGATAAGCTCCATTTTTGATTTTCACGACATCACATCACCTACCAAATGTGATATTCTTGTTCATCCCGGTTTTGAACGTATGAATCTAAAAAGCCTGTACAGTACACACACACACACATACACACACACACACTCCACTCCTGTGCATTCCTCCTTCCCAAAATAAACCTTGGAGCGAGACTGGACTATGTTTGCAATTCAGATCACACACTGCACTACATCATGCACGTCGGCTGCCACCGTCTGTTCTGCAAGTGTCACGCAGTTTGTCAAAGTTTTTTTAACACTTCTGGCTGCAGCTCCTTCTGGATACGTTGGTAGATGTGACATAGTAGACTCGTTGTGACACGGTATTGATGTTAGAGCTGCTGCTGTGACCATGGGAACTAGATTAGAGAGAACAGAGGTCACTTTGTGCGGCTCAAACACGGAGCTCATTCACAGGGTTTTTCCCTTCTTGAGACTTCCACAAGCTCTCTCACCAGGGTCAAGGTGTTTTTTCCGCCACACTGTTTTCCTACTGTTAACATACATTTACTTATGCACACTTTCCTCCCAGAACACCTCAGACATGTTCCAGTTTTACTGCAGGATGTTTACAGGCTTTGGTTCCTTGGCCCTGAGGCATTTCAAAGCAGAGCCTTGTAATTATCGGCCCATCACTCCCCTTTGGTGCGGGAGTTCTTTCTTTTTGTACCTGCACTTTTTTCAAATTTTGCATCATTAATGCGCGGTTTGGGATCAATTGTCAGCTTCGGTAGTTAGGAAGCTTAACTGCTTACCATTCCAGTACATCATGCTGTCAAAGCAGTAATGGCTTTTAAAAGGTTCATAACATAAATGGTTTAACAATCAATACTGTACTGTCCTATATCAGCATGGCTTTGTTTTCTGAAGTAATCCTGATGTAAAAGGACATACTATGATTTGCAGTTGTTGCAGACTAAATAACTTTACACCAACTACCTGCATACCCAGCCTTATCTCAAATTGTATCTTGACATTTTAAATGTTTTCTTGTCATTTCAGAGACTTTGGCTCGCTGTCTAAAGAGAATGTGTACGACAACAACCGACTGGTGAGTCTACTTTACTCCACTGGTCTTATGTTGCTTTTATTTTGCTTTGAAGGGAAGTATAAGTCACTTATTTTGTTTTAGGCGTTGCATTTGCTTCTTTCAGCCGTTAAAATATTACTAAGCCTCACATTTGCATGCAGTCATGCTGGGTGTGACCTCAGTGTGTTTGACTGTGTGTCTATGTCTTACTTAATTTCCATGAGCAGAGTGGGAGTAGGCTAAAGCATTATATGTCCTAAAAAACAGCCTGAAATAACCCTGTGTGGGGACCATATAAAAAGTGCTGAATTTGCAGCTTAAAAGTTCTTGGATATAATAGTCATTTTGGGGTCTTTCCACAATAGTCCTTTTGGGGTCTTTCCACGTTATCTGTAAGCCAGCAAAACATTGAGGGATAATGAGTTTCCTCATTTCCAGTCTGAGCTAAGTTGGCAGCTCTTTGCTGCTGTTTATATCATTTTTATCCAGCTGCTTTCAGGGAAAGTGAGGCGGGAACAAACTCTGTGTGCAGGCTGTCATAATAGAGAGGCGAAGTCCCGCCCTTCTACTTCCGCCCCATGGGACCTTATTTCGGAAAAATTATGTATTGAAGTCAAATGGGAGAGAAAGATTATCTTTCGATCCCGTTTGAATTGTGCCACGAATCACACATATGATGTTTGTCAATCTTAAAAAATAATTTCCATTTAAAAAAAGTCACAATTTGTCGTAAAACTGTTGAAATATAAGACTATGAAAAATATGCAACTAGAAAGACTACAAATCCCAGAGTCGTGTAAGTGATGTCATTAACGTTACACATTACACTCCTGTTACTCACTGAAACCTTGTAAAGCCGGTCCCACTTACTGGCTCTCACGGAACCGACTAACTCCCCTTGTGTGTATGTACAGCTCTCAACATGCCCAGACCTGTAGTGATTTTCACCTCTTAATACTTTTCGCCTCATTCTGAAAGAAAGAAGTGAAATGTGACAACGTGACGGCCGTCTTGGTGTTGGTGACGTGTGCGAGACGGGAGATGTAGTTCATTCAGCGATTCACACAAAAAAATGTCTTACTTCACAGTTTTACGACACATTTTTATTTTTTTGACCTGCAAAATTGACAAACATCATGGGTGTAATTCGTGGCACAATTCAAACGGGATCGCCAATGCCATTGACTTCAATACATAATTTTTCCGAAATAAGTTCCCATGGAGGTCCACCGGAAGAGAAGGGACTTCGCCTCTCTATATGATTGTGACGACTTCGTCACTATGGACTGACGGCTTTGGGCCGGGTGATATTGCAATTTATTAGCGTGATTGCACAGTACAGTTAACATTGCGTATTTGCACATAATTTATACTAATTAATGAACTAGTGTTTTTTTAACTGATTAAGCCGTATTTATTGAGATGTCGTCTGGATGCTGGGATAAGGATGACAGCGGTTGAGAGTAATCAGGGTGCAAATAATATTTTGAATATCTGTGGCTGATGATTGTGTTCACCTGGTGCCCTGTGTTGTCTCCTCCCCCCTCACCTGTGTTTAATTGCTCCCCCTCACCTGTGTCTAATTAGTCTGAGAGAGAGAGTGAGAGAGTGAGAGAGAGAGAGTGAGAGAGTGAGAGAGAGAGAGAGAGAGAGAGAGAGAGAGAGAGA